CTATCTAGCAGGTCCATGGGAGAAAGATTCGGTGATTAGCTTTTGTAATCAGTCTAGTACAGTTACCAGTGAAGGGGCAAGGGGAGCAAAAAAAAAATGAACAATAAACGCTTTACAGGAGTGGGCAAAGAGGTTAATGTGGAATGAATGGGTGATTAGAAATTATATTTTAATTAACACTTTGGAAGAAAATATGCTTTTGTGAACTTTCACAAAATTCACAATTAAAAATAAATAGTCTAAAAAAAACCCTATGAGGAAGTTCTATTCTGACACATGGGGTTACTGTGATGTGGAATGGGCTTGATGGCTCTTAAAGAAAATTTTCAGTTAACAATCTATTAACAGAAATATATATTTACACACACCTGTCGGAAACTTAAATGTCATCAGAGAAGTGGTTAAAGAAATGCACAATCATGTCTTTGAGAAACAGGTTCCATAAAAGATGAATCCTAGATATAGTGGAGTACAGGACAGCACATAAAGCAATACAAGCACTGAGCTAGAGGAATGTAGCTCTGCATGACAGGAAGCTACTAAGATTCCTGGGTGAAGAGTAGATAACTTACTTAAGATGATCATTAAGCCACAGTATACCAAACTGATATCTTCTAAAAGTCAATAATTTATTACAAGAGAACATATACTAACATCAAGAATAAGGAAAGCCATGATGAGTGGTCCAGGTCAGTCAGATCTACAAAATTTTCTTGTATCACAACTAATTCACAGCAATCCAACTCCTGTGGGTTTTCAGTGACAATAAATTATATGGACCTTGACTGCCCATCTCCCTCCTGGCCTGGTTTTAATTGTTTTTGGTCAAACATTTCTTCTAAGTGTTATACCACAGGTCTGTCCATTTGCTGTACAGAGGTAACTTGTGGTTGGTGTGATGCTGAACACTGTGACACTGATGTGTCAAATGCGATAATGGTTACCCATGGTGGACAGTGTTTGGTGGAGCTCCCTGATTAACACAAGGCTGGAAGCAGGAGTGGCTTCCACTTTTGAAATAGCTTGCTTATGGAAACTATGAACTTGGTTAAACGATAAAAGTTATATAAGTGTTCAGGTCTTTTGTTCATAGGGTTGCTACGAGTTGTCTACCACTCGATGGCACTTAAGAACAACAACACAGATATGTATCATTTTTTTATTTCATCTAATCTGGCAGCCTGGATAAACTGCAAGTTCAAAAACCAAGTTATTCAATAATTAACTCTCCTAGCCTCAGTCGGAACCAACTTATAACTAACCTTCCTTTGGGTTTCCATGGTTGTGACTCAAATTGGGAGAGTGCCTAGTTTTCTCCCTCAGAGCTATTGGTGGATGCCAACCACCAGAGCTCCCTATTCAACACTGGCTGTCCAGAAATAGTTCCTTTTAATATTTATTGTCTAAATGAAAAGCAAATATAAAAGCTACATGATTAAAAATAAAAAAGCTACATGATTGATAGCATTTTAAAAAAAGAATAACAATTTATCTTCTGTAAGAAAGTAACTATATTTTCATAATTTACTCCTTAATATTTAAATACTATTTAGTTTTCTAAGATATCTAGTTATTATATATAAACTGATTACAGATTTATAAAAAAGTCATATAGGGGAGCTCTGGTGGCCTAGTGACAAGATTTATAAAAAAGTCATATAGGGGAGCTCTGGTGGCCTAGTGACAAGAAGCTGCACTACAATCCCAGAGGCGCACGGTTCAAATTCACCAGATGCTCTGCCGGGGAAGGAGGGACAATCTCCTGTACTGGTCAGATTTGATTTGACGGTACACACAAATAATAAAATAAAAATTAAAAAACAAACAAAAAGGTCATATTAACATAACATATAAGCATGTTGTTGTTGTTATGTGCCGTCGAGTCGTTTGCGACTCATAGCGACCCTATGTACAACAGCCCTAAACCCTGCTCT